CGCCTGAGAGGCATTTCATAGACATAAATCTTATATTGATCAGAGGAGATAGGATATCGAGTTTGAGGTTTAGACGTAAGGGTAAGTTGAGTATGAGAATTATTGGGTCGTGTCATATTCTAAAGAAAATCAGACATGCTGCTTATCAACTTGAGTTGCCTCCCAAGCTTAGTCGTATCCATGATGTTTTCCATGTATCTATGTTGAGGTGATATCATATGGATATGAGTCACATCATCCAAGTTGAGGAATAGACTTGAGACCATGTTTTTCCTATGAGGAAGAACATGTTCAAACATTAGACCATGACGAGAGAATTCTTCGAAATAGGCTGATTTTGATGGTTAAAGTTCGGTGGAGCAACCGTAGCCCTAAAAAAGCTACTTGGGAGACATTAGAATCAATGGAGGCTTAGTTTCTGTATCTGTTCAGACTAGGTAAATTTCAAGGAAGAAATTTCTTTTAAGGTATGAGAGTTTTTACACCCTAATTTAGGGGTTAAATTTTTATTAATTTTATTTCGGGGACTAAATTAAAATTTTTGGTTAAATTTAGAGACTAAAATGAATACTTAAGTAAATTTTGATCCAATTCGTAAATAAACCAAAAGCATAGGGACTTAATTTGTGATTTTACCTTTTCCTAATGGGTTGGGAAGCTGAACCAAACCGGTCTAGTCAAACTGAATCATTGGTCCCCGTTAATCGTTGCTATTGATCGTTGACCGTTAACCGACATTGTCTTTGACCGTTGAAATGCATTAACTTTTTTTCAAAAACCTCCATCTCAATGTTTTTCGACATCCTGAGTCCTATTTTGTGATATGTTTTGCCAAATTTTTATCCAAAAGTCCCGAATAAAGCCCGTTAAACCGAAAATGCTTAGTATTTTTAATATTTTTGCATTTTATTTGGGATTTGATTATGGAATTGATTTGGAACTATATTTTCATGAAGGTACTCGTAATTCCCTGATTGAGGGTCGACTAGATTCGATGCTATCTATTCAATAGATCAGTATAATCCACGTTCTTCGAGAGCTACTAGTAGGTTTCCATAAATTTCTTAAGTAAAGTTTATTATTTATTTTATTAGGATTTGATATATTTATTTCGATTGTAAGATCTTACACCATCGCTGACCGTGATAGGAAGACCCAAGAGTAGGCTACTGTATCTGACTTCTTAGACCGATACATGCGTGTTCCTATTGATTTTATAATCTTGTTCTTAACTATCAGTCTGAAATGTTTTAAAATTCTAATTATATTAATTAATTTGATTGCATGATATATTATTTATCGTATACTTCCGATATGATCTCTGGTTAATGTATTTCTATATCTGATTATGTAATATGGCGTGCTTTAATGTCCTTATCGTAGGCCCTCATACTCTAAGGTCCTTATCGAGTATACATGTGGGTGTATAGTTCAGGGAAACCTACATTTTTTGGAGTTTGGATGGGGGTAATGTTCATGTATGAAAAAAATGTTTTAGAGAATAATTTTTAGCGAAGTATTTGTTAAAGTGTTTTTATACACCGCAAGGAGCAAACTGGACATTTTAGCTTACTCTTTGATTTTTAAATTTTTAGATAGTATCGATAGTAAACTAGTTGACTTAGATAAGGAGGATTGATAGTTCTTCATTTTGTTCTACTGTATATTTTTCTATGCCCTTATGTGATATTTTGGTAGCATGTGTTTTTAGTACTCTCAATATATATTTGTATTACAAGTATTTTGTTCTGAACATGTTTTCATACAAACTTCTGATATTGATATATGTATATGTTTAGTGTATAAACCATATCGTTATTTCTATATTTTACCATTACATGTATTTTATGCACTATGATGAATTTTAATTACATTTTGAATATGAAAAATAATTCTAAATACGATATGTGATCGGTTAGATTCAATTTTATTGCCTAGCCTGGGTCTAGGGGATTACATTCGAGGAAGAAGAATCCCAACTAGAATTTCCCAGATAACGATCCAATCTTTGATAAAGGTTCCCTTTAGACCAAGTAAATGATTATCCTTGAAACCCTAAATCAATTAACCCAATCATATAAATAAACTCAGAAATCTGGTTGTTTCCAACAACATGATGATTAGAACCTCCAATCTTCTCGTTAGGGCTAAAAAAACTCTATAATCAATCCAAACATTCATGGAACATCATCGCCCGAGTCTAAATTTGTAAACTTGTCCCAAAGGTATTTACATTTAGAACTATAAGGAGTTGCATACACTAAAGTAACCTGAATCTAGTTCTTATGTTCAGGAATCCAGACTCTCCCATTGATAAATTGATTGGAAACATGCATAACTTCAAAGCCAATAACATACTCCCAAAGTAACCAAATTTCAACACTGAAGCCATGGGCTTCAACTTGAAAAGATTTTGAAAAACCTAACTATGTAGTCACTCAATGAGCATTCCTACCACTCAATTAAGGTTTAAACAAAGCAACTATACTTGGGCTATGCTCATAAACAAAGCTCTAAAATATCCTTGAAACATCAACTAGTGAAAACTAGTCATTAAAAGAGAAATATAAAAAAGGTGAACCATATTGTTCGATTGTTGGTTGTTGTATATGTTTCTTGACTCATATTGTGGCATCCATAGTAGTATTCATAGTCAAATTACTATCAGTATTTCCATAAGAACATTGTCATATGAAAGGAAGACCCTTTGAAGTGATCGAATTCACCATCAAGTCTTCCGTCATAATTTGGTTAGAGATGTTATTAACCTAATCTATAACCAGTAAATTAGAAGAAGACTGAAATTCATTCGGTTTATAGATCTTCAATCCCTTCTTACTATTCTCTTTCATTTGGTTAGATACCCTTTTGCTCTTTGTAATTCTAACACCCTTCGATTGCTCACCTCAACACTTGGTTCATTAATCGATAGTGCTTTATGGTTTCTAGTGGTGTGTCATGTCTTATGCTCCACAATAATCACCTCTTGGAAACCATCATTGGAACTACGTTGACCTCATTCGAAACAAGTTTAGAAGCTTTGGTATGTTTATCTGGGTTCGAAGCCATCTATGTCGTATTACACTGAACATTTTTTTGTTTTCTTAACAGGGGTCATTGTACGCAAAACAACTGATAACTAACAAAAAAAGTTATCTTTAGAAGCACTTGTAGCCTAAGTTTAGTTTAATCTTAAGCATTTTTACGATCATTTTAGGATTAGTTTTAATTATTTGTTATGATTTTCATGTTTATATTATGTGGGTTGTTTAGGGTTAAAACTGAAGTTTAATGCTGAAAATATGCACTGATGTTGTACCATTGCAGGAAATGATGTGTAGCATTTAATTAAACCCATTGATGATGTTGTTGCATTCTAATGCTATGGAGCATCCCAATGCAGTGGAGCATTCGATGACTTAACTGAAAGCTGTGAAATTTTCTACAATGGGATAATTGTCCTAGGCAACTGTCAAAGGGTTGGATCCTATCCTAAACATTGAAGCAAACCATTAAAGGATCATATTTCCTATTCACTTATAAATAGAACATTTGCCTGCTCATTATCACATACTGAGTACATCACATTTCGAGAAAAAATCCACACCTCTACCACAGTTTTCTGCACCCGATGAAAGCCTAAGCCTTTTACCATGGATTGTTGTAGCAGAAAGGGAGCTTGTCGAGTATCATCGGTCGTCAGCAGATCAATGTTCGAGTATTTCATCGAGAGAAGGGAGTGTTTGAATATACTTAAATTTGTATTGGATGATATTTTGGATTTATGGTTTTATGCTATTATGATTTTTTCTATGAGCTTGGATGATTAGATTATGAGTAGAAATGTTTGTAATAAATGAATAGTTATTTTAAATACTTCTAGAAATATATTCATTTAACTTGCCATCTACTTTTAATAGCCTAGTTGATGCTGAGTAGCATTGTTCATACTGAAAATAGGCAGCCTAGTATTAGCCTTGTTAAAAGGTTGGATCTTTGATTTATGAAAGTGATTAAAGTAATTCAATAGGTTTTAATCATTACTAATAGCATATAAATGGTATTCATTGTTTGTTTGAAACTTGAATCCGTTGATATTTCCAATTTACAATCGATAACCAACTTATCGCTCTCTGTAATGTTGTAGCATGAACTGGAGTTTTACATTTTGATTTTATTTTCTCTCTGTAAAGCAATCAATCAACATTTCTTTATTTTTAACTCTATTAAAAACCACATGCTCTCTTTGGGATCGATACTCATAACTTAACTGTTACCACTTTTATTAGTTGATTTACGACAATTTCACTTGTGTTATTGCTATAGCACTTTACACAACATCAAGTTTTTGGCACTGTTATCGGGGAGCATCGGTTTGATTTAGAGTTTTATTTTATTTTTCTTTTGTAGCTACTTGTTAGTTTTCAATTTTATTTTATGTCCATAATAAGTGACGAGCTAGAGTCATTTGATCCAGAGATAGAACGTACTTTTTGTCAACATCAAAGAGAAGTTGCACTAAATCGAAAAACATGAATGTTGGGAATAATAACAATACTTTACCTCTGATGCCACATAGGGAGAAGGAAGATTTGCTAGCTAGGCAACTAAATCAATATGTTGATTACCAGAATCGCATGATTCGTGAGCATGTGGTACCAGCTTTGGACGGTTTGTATATGGGTATTATGAGGCCAGCGATCAATCTTACGAACTTTGAATTAAAGCCTGTCATGTTTCAAATGTTGTAATCTATGGGAAAGTATGGAGGAAGTGTTGTTGAAGATCCTAGAGCTCATTTGAGAGCTTTTAAGGAGGTTTGTGATTCATTTATACAACAAGGAGTTCCTGAGGAGGCTCAGAAGCTGAAACTATTTCTCTACTCGCTACGTGAGAAAACACGAGGCCGATTGAGTTCACTACTGCCTGGGGAAATAACATCTTTGAATGAATTAGTCAAGCAATTCTTGTTACGTTTCAACCCGCCAAATATGAATGTTAAGCTACGAAACGATCTGACTTCATTCAAGCAAATAGAGGATTAAAGTTTTTATGAGGCTTGGGAGAGATTCAAAGAATTGCTGAGGAAATGTCCAATGCATGGATTTCCACATTGGACTTAAATGGAGATGTTCTAAAATAATTTAAACATACACACTCGTATGGTTGTCGATGCTTCACTAAATGGAGCATTGCTAGATAAATCATAATGAAGCATGCGAAATACTAGAAAGAATTTCAACTAATGATTGCCAATATCCGAATATGAGAAATATGTTTGACCGTTGTAATGCTGCATCAATCGATTCTGAAGCTTTCAGCTCTATGGCATCATATATCTCAATCTTGGTATAAATGGTAAATAAGTTGCAACGACCAAGAGGAATACATGAAGTCAAAGCTACATCTCTTATTACTTGTGTTTATTATGGTGAAGAGCAGAACTTTGATGAATGCCCTCAAAATCCAGAATCTATCTACTACGTGATGAATTATCCTAGAAATGACAATGCATTTGGCAACACGTACAATGCAAATTTCAGAACTCATCCAAATCTCTCTTGGAAAAATTAGAATGTTGCCAACCCACAACATTTACGCAACAACAACATCAGTTGTATTAGCCTTATAATCAGTAGAACCTGATTCCACAACAACAAGCACAACATCTTGTAGTTCATCCACAACAAAGACAAAATTATCAAGGTCAATCTTCAACTCAAACTTCTTTTTTTTTAATCTCTTGAAGCTTTAATGAAAGAATATATGGCTAGTCAATTTGCTTCATTAAGATCTTTATAAAATCAAGTTGGTAAGCTAGCAAATGACTTGAGTAATAGACATCAAGGATTGTTTCCCAGTGACACTGAAAATTCGAAGAACAATAGGAAAGAACATTACAAAAGTCATCACCTCCAGAAGTGGAATACAGATTAGAGAGCCTCTGGGAGAACCTAGAGTAAAAGATGAGGATGCTCCAAAACATGATAAAGGAAAAAGAAAAGAAGTTAAGCATGAGCCACCTATTGGCTCTACGACATCAGATGCAAGCCAGTGTAGTAATTCAGATCCATTGCCGATAGCAACACCTGCTAAGTCTGAAGCTCCACCAATTTCAATGCTACAGCCACAACAACAAAAATTACCTCTACCTTTTCCACAGTGCTTTAAAAAGATAAAAGAGGAACATTAGTACAAAGCCTTCATTTATGTACTTTTCCAACTTACCATCAATATTCCATTGATCAAATCGTTAGAGCAAAACCCGAACTACATCAAATTCATGAAGGAAGTACTATCGAGGAAGCGCCAACTAGGTGAATTTGAAATTGTCGCCCTGACTAAAGGTTGCAGTGTCATGGCTACAAGTCAATTGCCACCAAAACTTAAAGATCAAAGGAATTCCACTATTCCCTACAATATTGGTGATACATTTGTAGGAAAAGCTTTATGTGATTTAGGTGCTAGCATAAATATAATGCCTTTATGCATTTTTAGAAAATTTGGGAGCTGTGAAGCAAGGTCAACTACTGTCATGCTGCATCTTACTAATCACTCCACTGTACAACCGAGTAGTATTGTGGAAAATATGCTTGTGCAAATAGATAAGTTTATTTTCCCACCGACTTCATCATTTTGGATTGTGAAGCGGATAAGGAAGTTGTCATCATTCTTGGATGCCCATTATTTATTGTAGGGGAGCCTTAATCAATTTTTAAAAGAGAGAATTAACTATGCATTTAAATGATAAGCATATTACCTTTAATGTGTTAAATAATGTATCTTACTTGAGTAATAATGTTGATTGTTTTTCACTTGATGTGAATAATATTTTTGCCCATGAGCATCTTGACGAATGTTATAGAACTGAAGAAGCTATTGATGATTTTGTAGTAATTGGGGAGACTACAGAAAATGAATGTTACATCAATTACCTGTAGAAGTACGAATCTCTGGCTATGCTTGAGTGTGTTCCAAGTGCACCAAAGCCTATGTCGAAGAGCCTCCAAAGATGGAATTGAAACTATTGTCAAAGCATTTGGAGTATGCCTATCTTGGAGATAATGAGACTCTTTCATTCATTGTTGCTGAACAGCTGACAGTAGTACAGCTAAAAATAGCACAGAAGGAATAATTGATTGTTGTGCTGTAATAACATAAGAAAGTTATCGTTTAGAGCATTGCTGACATAAAGGGCATTAGTCCTTCACTTAGTATGCATAATACTTTTGTTAAAAGACCCTGCTAGTAGCTCAATTAAACATCAATGCCGATTGAATCTAATCATGAATGTGGTAGTTCAAAAGGAGATCATTAAATGGTTGGATGATAGAATCATTTACCCAATTTTGGACAGTAAATGGATCAGCCATGTGTAGTGTGTTCCAAAAATATTGGTATTACTGCCGTGACCAATGAAAAAAATGAGTTAGTACCGACAAGAACCACTATTGGCTGAAGGATATGTATGGATTATAGGAAGCTCAATAAAGCTATAAGGAAAGATCACTTACAATTGCCATTCATATATCAAATGTTGGACCGCCTTGCTAGTAATTCTTTTTATTTTTTCTTGTATGGGTATAGTTGATACAATCAGATTACTATTGCACTAGAGGATCAGGAGAAAAAACGTTCACATGCCCTTACGACACCTTTGCTTTTAGATGGATGTTGTTCGGCCTGTGCAATGCTCCAGCAACATTTCAACGTTGCATGATGGCTATCTTCTCCGTTATGATTGAGGACTTTTTGGAAGTTTTCATAGAAGACTTTTCAGTGTTTGGATAAGATTTTGAGAGCTGCTTGAACAACTTGGCTACTATTTTGTAAAAGTGTAAGGAAACCAATTTAGCTTTGAATTGGGAAAATGCCATTTCATGGTAAAGAAAGGGATAATAATGGGGCATCAAATCTCTTGTCGTGGCATTGAAGTCGATAAGGCCAAAGTGAGGTTATTGATAAATTACCCCCACCAACAAATGTGAAGGTTGCACGAAGCTTCATTGGTCATGTGAGCTTTTATAAAGGTTTATTAAATATTTCTCACAAATTGCTAAGCCTTTATGTTCATTGTTGGAGCAAAACTGAAAGTTTGTCATTGATGCTAAATTGCTTAAGTCATTTGATAAAATCAAGAATAAATTGGTCAATGCCCCTATTATAATAGCATCAGACTAGAAACTGCCCTTTGAATTGATGTGTGATGCTAGTGACTTCGCTATAGGAGCAGTGTTGGGGCAATGCAATGATAAAATGTTTCATGCTATATATTATGTGAGTTGAACATTGAACAACGTCCATATTAATTACACTACAATTGAAAATGAAATACTCGCTGTGGTGTTTACCTTTGAAAAATTTCGCTCAAATCTAGTGGGAACAAAGATAATTATTTATATTGACCACTATACTCTGAGGCATCTGTTTGCGAAAAATGATACAAAGCCTAGGTTGATTTGTTGGGTATTAATGCTACAAGAATTTGATATTGAGATTCAGGACAAGAAGGGATATGAAAATCAATTGGTTGATCACATGTCTAGATTAAAACTGGTAGCGAAGATGGATATCGCATAGTGACTCCAAACAACTTCCCCGATGAATGACTGTTAGTTGTTACAACATTACCATGGTATGTCGATTTTGTAAATTATTTGGTTAGTGGAATTATGCCACCATATCTTAATTATCAAGGTCGAAAGAAATTTTTAATAGATGTGAAGCAATATCATTGGAAAGAGTCGTTTCTATTTAAACAATGCATTGATCAATTTATACGACGTTGTATTCTCGGAGTGAGAGAAGCAAAGCAATCTGCAGCATTGCCACAGTGCACCATATGAAGGATATTTTGGTGGTATGTGCATAGAAGAGAAGGTACTTTAGTGTGGATATTATTGGGCATCACTGTTCAACGACGCCAATAACTTTGTGAAACATTATGATCACTGCCAGCGAATATGTAACATATCTCGATGAAATGAAATGACTATGCAACCTATATTGGAGATTGAACTATTTGATGTATGGGGATTAGAATTTATGGGTCCATACCCTTCTTCCTATAGTAACCTTTTCATTCTAGCTATTATAGACTATGTTTCCAAATGGGAGGAAGTTGTAGCATTGCTGAATAGTAGTGCCAAAGTTGTTTTCAATTTTTTTACAATAATATATTCACTCATTTTGGAACACCCCGTACTTTTATCAATGATGAAGGATCTCAGTTTATTGGTCATCAAGTTGCTAGAGCATTGAAAAGATATGGTGTGAACCATAAGATCGCTACAACATACCATCCCCAATCCAATGGCCAGGCAGAGGTATCTAATCAAGAGATCAAACAAATTCTTGAGAATGTTGTGAATCCTTCTAGACAACATTGGTCACAACGCCTTGAAAAACCTTTATGGGCCTATAGAACTGCATATAATACTTCACTAGGGATGTCACCTTATCATCTTGTCTATGGAAAAGCTTGTCACCTACCCGTCGAGCTAGAGTATAAGGTAATGTGGGTGTTAAAGCAGCTGAACTTTGATCTCTATGCTGTAGGAAAACAACAAATGTTGGAAATTAATGAATTAGAGGAGCTTCACTACAATGCTTATGAGAACTCACGTATTTACGAGGATAAGAGTAAGAAGTGGCATGATCAACATATTCTACCAAGGGAATTCCATGCTGGATAGCAAGTCTTGTTATTCAACTCGCGATTGAAATTATTCCTTGGAAAACTACGATTACACTGGTCAAACCCCTTTGAAATTTTTGAAGTATTTCCTCATGGAGTTGTATTGCTGAAGAACTTAGTGGATGGAAGCATGTTTAAAGTTAATAGGAAAAGCTTAAAGCACTACTGCCAACCGCACAACCCTCACATTGCTTCAATCACACTAAGTGATTCGTCTCTTCCTTAATACTTTTTGCACATTTAAATAAGTCAATTTCTTTGACAAATTATATTTTGGAGTTTTTATATTTTTTATCTTTCATTTTCTTTATACAAGTTTTATTTCTTCACTCTCTGCCATTTGGTCATTGCTGCACAGCCTTACCCAGTTTTTCACAGTATATTGTGCTTCTGTTGTTGCATGAATGCTGCATCATCTAAATCTCTAATCTCTGGTGATGCTAAGCATGCTACAGAATCAGTTAGTCAGAAGAAGAAGAGCTCGGTGAAGGCCAAGACTACTTCCAAGTGTATACGCATAGATCTGTTCAGATCACGAAAAAGCCTATGCAAGCCCACTTAGGGGGTATTGCTTCCCTTTCTTTTAATTTCCTTTGTTTAGTTTTATTGTATTGATGGTCTAATGCATTGGGGACAATACATCCCTTAGGTTTGTGGGTGTGTTGTCATGTGAATGTTGCATTTAGGTTATGTTGCACTGTGTATTTAGAAAGTATTGTTGCATGTAGAGTTGCATTGGTAATGCCTTAGGATAAATTTTTCGAAATTAATAAAGTTGCTAAGGGAATTTTAATGAAGTTCGATGATCATTATGACTTGGTATGAAATGCTATAGGAAATGCTTTGGATTTGTTTTTGAAATTAGATCCCTAGAAATTTTATTTACACTTAGGTGTATGTTTTCAATACTTAGATAATTTATAAATCTTCAAGCTATAAAACTCTTATCTTTATTATATATTGCATCATTGTTTCTAAAAAAATGAAAAGAAAAATGAGAATGAGATTCCTAGGTAATAAATTTGGGTAATGCTGGTAATAGCTCCAACATAGTGAGAGCAATAAGTTAAATTTCCAACACTGGTGAAGAAGCATTGTTGTAGCATTGGACATCTATAACAAAGTAGGTGCGAACTATTCTAAATTAGCTAAGTATTGATTAGATACACCTATATTTCACACACTACACTCTGAGGATTCTGATTTTAAAATGAGGAAACTGCATTTTCCTTATTTGAGATTATAACTATGCTGCAGGCATTAGTGAAGGACTGAAAAAGAAACTTACCTGCTGTGTTGATTTCTAGGATTTATTCTTTGGAATTGCTGTAGGATTAGATAATTCATGCATGTTTTGCTTGAGGGCAAGCAAAAACTCAGGTTTGGGGGTGTGATAACTCTCCAAAAGAGTTATCTTTAGTAGCATTTTTAGTCTAAGTTTAGTTTGATCTTAAGAATTTTTAGGAGCATTTTAGGATTAGTTTTAATTAGTTTTTATGATTTTTCATGTTTATATTTTGTGGGATGCTTAGGGCTAAAACTGAATTTTAATGCTGAAAATATACACTGACGCTGTAATATTGCAGGAAATTGTGTGTAGTATCCGATTGAAGCTACTGATGATGCTATGCAATTCCAATGCTATGAAGCATCCCAATACTGTGGAGCATCCGATGACTCAACTGTCAGCTATGAAATTCTCTAGAATGGGACAGTTGTCCTGGACAACTTTCTTAGGCAGCTGTTAAAGGGTTGGATCCTATCCGAAACGTGGCAGTAAAACAATGGAGGATTAGATTTCCTATTCACTTATAAATAGGGCACTTGCCTGCTCATTAGCACACACCGAGTACATCAAATTTCGAGAAAAAATCCACACCTCTGCCATCATTTTCTTCACTCGATGAAAACCTAAGCCTTCTACTAGGGATTGTTGCACCAGAAAGAGAGCTCGTCGAGTAGCATCGGTCATCAGCAGATCACTGTTCGAGCATTTCATAGAGACAAGAGAGTGTTTGAATATACTTATATTGTATTGGATAATATTTTGGATTTATGGTTTTATGCAACTATGATTATGTTTCTATGAGCTTGGATGATTAGATTATGAATAGAAATATTTGTACTCAATGAATGGTTATTTTAAATGATTCTAGAAATAGATTCGTTTAATTTGTCATCTACTTTTAATAGCCTAGTTGATGCTGAGTAGCATTGTGCATATTGAAAAGTAGGCATCCTAGTATTAGCCTTATTAAAATGTTGGATCTTTGATTTATGAAAGTGATTAAAGTAATTCAATAGGTTTTAATCATTGCTAATAGCATAAAATCGTATTCATTGTTTGTTTGAAACTTGAATCCCTAATGCTTCCAATTTCCATTCGAATAGCTAACTGTCGCTCTCTGTAATGTTGTAGCATGAACTAGAGTTTTACATTTTGATTTTATTTTCTCTCCATAAAGCAATCAACTAACATTTCGCTATTTTTAACACTATTGAAAACCATCTGCTCTCCATGGGATCGATACTCGTAACTTAACCGCTACCACTTTTATTACTTAATTTATGACATGTGCACTTGCATTATTGTTATAGCATTTTACACAGCATCAACAACCACATCATTTAGATCACTGGACAACTCTTACAAAATAGCTTGGACAGAAGATTCAACTCTTACCCTTTCCTTTTCAACCACAGAAGCTAAGATATCATCGGTGACTGGAGTTGTACCTTGGTGTGAAGTGTCCATATTAAGAACTACTAGATCCTTTCCTACTATCTTTTTCTTTTTCATTAGTCTTCCTCGAGTTAGGGGTGAATTATTCCATTTTCCTTCTGTTATCAACCATCATCCATGGGCCATACATAGATGAATCATTGGATTCAGCAGTATCAACTTTCTCTTTACTATCATTCTAATTAGCAACCACGTTAACATTCTCTATAGTCACCTTAGATTGGAAATTCTCCTTAGCATGGCCATACAAACTATAACTAAAACAAATTTACTGTAATCCCTAATATTCTAATTTTGATGATTTTGTCTATGCTAATATATGACAGAAGTGGCTTATTTAGATCAACAAGAACAACTACTCTAGCAAACTTCCCTCGGTTTCCAATTTGTGTATTGTAATCAATCTTGATAACTCTCTCAATTGTCGAGGCAATGTGCCGAAATAGTTTCTTCAAATAATACCTAAATAGAAGACTTGATAGCCTTATCCATACATAACATGGTATAGATGTTCAGTGGCGGAACTCACCATTATCCTTTCGAAATAGTTTCTTTAAATAGTATCTATAGCAATGGAACTTTCATCGGTTGTTCAATATCAGAAACAGAACTTGGTTTGCTCAATAATATACGTGAATAATTTGGTCCTGAGTCTAAGGTAGCCCTTAAGGATCCCCGAGAAAGGGCCTCAATTTTTCTGAAAAATTTCGCATACAAGTCACAAGAACGGTCGTGTTCATCTATGTCGTCCTATTTCCTTATCCTATTGTCTTTTCCTGCTCCTCTAGAAAAAAACGAATTCATTCAATCGCTCAACAAAAAAAATATGATATTTGCAGGAAATTTGGGACGCCAACATCTCAAGTTATAATGGATGTTGGATATATCATCATGGCCTTTTCCCTTCCATGCTCACTTTACATCGCCTCGATCCTGGTCAGGATATTCTTTGGGCTCTGATTGACGATAACAGTCCTGGTTGCTTCGGAGTTGTTCCTCAATCTTCCCGTGGGATTGTTTCTTTTCTTTGAACTGCTTGTTGGGTATTTATACGATGCCCTGGACACTCCAATTGTTGGTAGAGGTAATGTTGAATCAAAATAGAAGAAAAACTCTAATTGATCGAGAAGAAGAAAAACTCTCTTTAGAATAATCTCACAAAATTGCAAAAGTGAAAGAACTCTTGAGAAAGCTTTCAAATTTTGTTGGATGATAAAACTCAAATACAAATGGGGTATTTATAGGTTACAACTAATCTAAACCACTCATTAAAATAACCACAAAATAATTTAAGCCATTGAAATTAAAAATGAGAAAAATACCTAATTGTCACATAACTAAATTGATGTAAGCAATGACATCAGAACTAAATTGATGTAAGCAATGACATCAAATTAATTTAGGTGTGGACTTATTTAGGCTAATATTGACTTCTCAACACTCCACCTCAATGTTAGCCCCCATTATTTGAATCACGCCAAGCTAATGATGGAAATGTTCAAACTTTCCAACACTCAAGCTTTTTGTAAACAAGTCAACAATTTGTTCATCTGTCTTGATTTACCTCATCTCAATCTCTTCTTGCAAAAAATTTTCCCTAACAAAGTGGTAATGTACGTCCACATGTTTAGTTTTTGCATGAAAAATAGGATTCTCCGCCAACCTAATTTCTGATTAGTTGTCACAGTACAACATAATTGCATAATCTACTGGTTGATGTAGATCATTCATTAGTTGTATCAGCCACGTGCTTTCTTGAGCTGTTATTGATGCTGCTCGGTACTCTGTTTCCGTAGTTGACAAGGACACAGTCGTTGTCTTTTACTACACCAAGAAATTGTTCCAGAGCCACGCTTAAACATATACCCAATTGTTGATCTTCTGGTGTCAAGATCTCCTGCATAATCAGCATCACAATAACAAACAAACTTACAGTATTCACCTTTCTTGTACAAAAGACCATAGTCAATTGTACTCTTTACATATCTTAGTATTCGTCAAACTACTTCCAAATGAGGTTTCTTTAGATTTTACATATACCGACTCATCAAACCATCTACATAAGAAATGTCAGGTCGGGTCAAGGTTAAGTAGATCAGACTACCTACCAATTGTCGATACATTGTTGCATCTTCCAAATCTTTTCTTTCATGTGCACACATTTTGTCATTTGGTTCCATTGGCGTCGAAGTTGACTTGCATTCGAGCATTCCAAACCTCTTCAATAAATCTTTAGCATATTTATGTTAACACAG